GGTTCAAGTCCTGGACACTGCTTCGTACAGACCTACCGAAACTTCCGTCTCTCACGGGTTTGGTCTGCATTTTTTCCCAGCCATAACAGTCTGTTGACCTTTCATTGTAAATAGGTACATCAGCCATGAATGTCGAACAGTTCGCGTTTTCAAATGAACCAATTTTGCAGGGTCACCTTGAAATACAGGGCTTACCTGAAAGGGCAGAGTTAAAGTGCATCCCAAGGTGGCCCGCCTTGGCTGGAAAATTTATTTTTGTCTGTTGCACATTAAGAGTAAGGACAAGGGAAATAGAAAATCCTCAAAATGTTTAATTCAGATCGGCAAAAAATCAGAAAGAACCAAGCCAGCCGTGTGGCTCGATGGCGGCAATCATGCTCGGGAATGGCCTGCATTTCACGTTGCCGTCTACTTTATCGAACAGGTGATTACAGTCGCTTATCCTAACGTATGCATAAGAATAGTTGATGGTGAGTTGGGGGCAAGGTGTTCTTTGGAGATTCAAGAGGGGGGGGGTCAGTAACTAAGGAGCGCGCTATGCGCAGGGTCAGCCGTCTGTTGTTCCAATCCCCAAAAATTTTACGACCTCCCTTCACAGAAGGGGGGGGGAGGAGGGTCTCGTTGCAACGTCTCACCACCACCAGCCTCAGAGGCGTCCCTGAATACGATCCGTCCACACCCGCCCTTCCCCATTCCGATCACCACCCTCACCACAGGCTCCAGCTCTGGACACTTACACCTTCTAAGCGGCCGGCAGGGGCGGGAGAATTAGTTGGGACGGAGGAGGAGAAACTAACCACCACCTAATCCATCATGACTATTTCTACAGTACCTGACTCTGATTCTGATAGTCGAACAGCCGTTCCCTTTCCCATCAAAACGGCTGTCGAGTGGTGGGGGGTATTTGTCTAACGAAATGACATCCACTGATTTCGAAAACTTCATGTTTACTTTTTCGGATACCCACCGAAATTATCAAAAACCCCATCAAAAGGCTTCCCCCAAGCCATCACAATCCATTCAATCCATTCGGATCCATTCAACACCAGGAGTTCGACCCCCTTCTCAGCCTTTCGAACGTCATCAACCCCGATTACAACCCCCCGAAAAGTTGAAATACCCCCGTTGAGAATTGCGCAACGCACGGTTGACCCTGGCTATGCGCCTGATCTCCCCATGGCTGGCAACGTTTCCACCCCAGATCGCTCCGCCCACCCATCAGTGTCACCTTCAATTTTGAAAAACACTCGTACCTTCTCTCCTTGGGTATAACAGTTTACGAATGGATATTTTCAGTTAGTGCAAAGGTACAAAATAGATGATAAGATCACTGGATATGTCGAATCTCTGGACATCTACATTTTCCCCGTGCTGAACCCGGACGGTTTCGTGTTTTCCCGGACATCGACGAAATCAATAGTGAGTTTCTTTCAGTCATCGGTGCAATAATAGTACTCGCTGCAGTGTGTTGTTCAAAGAGCGAAACTATTTGGCAGAACAATTTTGCGACCCCCTTTCATTCAAGTGGGGAGGGGTCTCGTTACGAGAGAACTCATCCCTTTGAGATCAAATGTTCATCAAGGAGCGGGGTTGCGATGGGAAGGGGGATGGGATGGGGGAGTGCTGGCTCCCAAGATTCGAGCAGTTAGGAATGGGTACCCGACAGGAGGCCCGTCGCGCGGCAAGAAGGCAGAGTCAGCGGACGAGTCGCAGCGCGTACTGTAGGATTTCGCGTCAAGTTAAATAGAATGTCCATTGTACGTCCTACATCGCACACACGCGCTGCAACTCGTCCGCTGACTCTGCCTTCTTGCCGCGCGACGGGCCTCCTGTCGGGTACCCAATAAGAGTAGAACTTTCCGTGGTCCCAGTCTCTGTCGAAAACCGTTCTTTTATAAACACATAAGACTCTGTTGGATCCTTGCCCTGAAATGCCCTTGAGAATCCTCAAAGTACGTATTTGAGCGTTGAGTGATAATTAGCTTTCCTTGGAATGCGCCACGCATTCCACTTCCATTCGCGGCCGTACTGGCATTTGAATGTAATTCCTTCAATACAATGAATTATTGGGAACATTTGTATACCCATTGTAAGTAGGTGGGACACCCAATTCATGCGTACTATTGCCGCTTATTTCAGATCCGTCAATGGAGAAAGAACCGTGCCCCCTCGAATTGTTCGGGATCTACAGGCTTCGCGAAAGACGTCTGTTGTGAAGGCGTCGATTTGAATAGGAACTATGATTTAGGGTGAGTCGAAGCTTCGAAGTTACGAAAATTCAAATGAACACGCAAACATTCTCAACTTTGTAGTTGATGATTCCTGTCGATTATTCAGTCTTCAGATTTTCTCAACTTAACTACCCATTCAACAATCCATGTTCAGACGAATTTCAAGGACCATTCCTTTTAGTGAACTGAGTCAAGGTTGTGTTGCTGAAATCATGCCTTTCTTTCAAACTTCAATCGCTTTTTTTTCCTTTTTCTTATGTTTTGATTTTGAGTTACTCCATGGCCGTGACAAAAGAAATTGAGTGGGAGCTGTATGTAGTGCGTTAAATGCGCGCAGCCTGCCACGTTTCGGAAACGGTTCATCCAGAGTCGATAAGCTCATCATTTCCCTGATGTCACAGAGTCGAGCAAGGATTGTTAGAAGAAAAACAAGACAATAGTTGAGCTACTGACAAATTACAACCCAGTAGGACGCATTGGACCATGTACCTCTCGCTTAAAGGCAAGTGCCACAGGTATCATCAACGCTACGGAGGCAGGGTCGCACTATTTCGAACGAAGGGGTCGCATTCGTGATTTCAGAGAGGGGGCTCGCATTTGGAGTCTGAGCTTAGCGGAAGTTCTGGGAGGGTAGCGTGAAGTAAGCAAAAATGAGGAATTTGTCGATCATGGCCGCATCAATTTACCCCTCCCATCCTCGAAGCGTTTGGAAGAACAATTTGGAGCGAAATTGGGGGAATTGACTGCTGGCGGGTAGGTTTCAGAATCAAAAAAACTATAAAAACAGCCATAGGGGGTGGCGGTCGGTTAGGGAGGGAGGATTGATGGAGAAACCTCCAAGACTGATAGTGGTGTGAAGCGGGGGATCCATCAAAGTTTCTCCTAAAGGTAGGCGCGGGCGCAGATTTTTGGTAAAATCTCGGTGAACATGAGGGACCCTGTATTGCCGGGCACCGTTCGCACGAACTCAACCTTTCTATGGTGTTTACATAGCTTTCAGCACTTACACGGTCTAATATGATGAGCCGCGTTAGCAAAATTGGCAGTGAACCACAAGGCCTACTAGAGATTAATTGTGTACAGGGAAATACATTTATTCGGAGTCAATGCAGACGATGCCTTTGCCAGTATTTTACTTGTCACAGATTTGAAATACTCGGTCCATTCCGGTTAGGTAGAGGAACTATCGCTTGCTCAGATCCATCCTATGGAGCGCGCAAACGATATAGAGACTGTGCTTTACACAAGACCCCACCTTTTCATAACATAAGCAGTACTGTTTTCAGAGCCGTCCGTGATTTCGTACTATCCAAGGAAGTCTATGGACGGTTACATGCCCTTGTCTCCATGCACACACATGGTCAACTGTGGATTCTACCGTATAACCACCACAAGCGAACCTACCCGGAAGACTTCAAAGAACTCGTAAGTGAATTTTCTCACTCATCTTCACAATGTAACGATGAAACCTTCTCTTTTGGCGCGGGTAACATTCAAATAGCAATAGATTACACGCGCGCAAAATCAATACTAGTTCTCCTGAAGCATAGCGGGCTACGTGTGGTACATGGTGACGCACATGCGAACATAAAAATGAGACTTGTTCGTTTGACTTATTCTGGCATTTTTTACTTTCTAAATTGACCATTTGCACTATGGATCCAGGAGACAATACATATGTCAGCAATAATCCAACAGTCAATTGGGCATTAGGCTAAGTAAGGAGCAAATAGGCGCATTACCCATATTGGGGACACATGCTTGAGACTAACCTGAGAGGGGCCAGGAATTCGGGGAAAATGAAAATTGCCACGCACCTTGAAGTTTTTCTTACCTCCTAAAACGTGGTCGCGTTTTCAACAAAAAGACAATATTTGACGCGGTTTGAATGCGCTGCCGCCACAATGCCATGTATCTTGCATGCGCTGAAAAGTTAAAGGCACAACCCAGGCAGAGGTCGTGTGAACTCTTCTCTTCGGTCAGAAGTATAGAACCCTAGGGGACAATCACAAATGTGGCGTTCACGTGCACGGAATTCGACCGACAAGAACGCTTTGGGCTTGCAAAGTAAGCTGCTCGAGCTGCAGCGAACGAGCTCTCTTATCAGGCCGTTGTCTGGTGCTCTCTCATCTGATGCGCTCTCTCGCCCCATACTCTCCTCTTCGCGCTTAGTCTCTCGTTCCTTTAGCACAGCCAATTAGGAAGGTGAGTGAGCCCTCAACCTGAGCGTTTTCGACGGATTCTTTTCCTTTTTTCTTCACTGCCGGCCCACTTGGCACCGATACATTCACATTCGTGTGCAAGAGCCACACCAGTGCGATCCTGGGGCATGCCTTTAAGAAAAGTGGCGGGAAACCGCTGCAATGCAGTCCTGAATGAGATGCGAAACCACATTTCAAGAGGTGGGAGTCAACGGTGAACTATGGATATAAGAGTTGTAAAAACCCCTTGCGCTTGACTACAGAACGACTATTTCAGGAGAGCCTTGCCGCGAGAGCTGCCGAAAAAGTCTACTCGTATCGAGAGACCAAGTACAGAATAGGTACAGCCGCGGATATGCTCGGTGAGATAACAGAAGTGATGATGAAGTGGCTAAGGCCAGGAGAGAGCATCGATAAGTAGGCCTTATGACTACTGATCAGCTCAATTGTAACGAGTAACAAATGAGTGCCTATTAGAGTTGTAGTGATTTCGAATTGGAAAACGCTGTTTAGAAAGAAAGATTCTCGGCCTTAATATGGATTATTTCAGGCACAGCAACAGGCGGTGCGACGGATTGGATCAAGAAGAACACACCCACCAAATACGTCTATGTAACTGAACGACCCCAGATATGCTCTAGGAGTAATTCGGCTCTATTTGAATAGGTGTTGGCAGTGAACTCATTAGAAATGCGCTTAAGTTAGAGCATCATGTGAGGTCCGTGTCGTTGCGACACCGCGAAGAAAATGTGGCGTCACGCACGAAACACCTTAGCCAATGTAGAAAGCTGTCGTAATTCAGTTGAAGGCTCATAGATCCACATTCAAACTGTAGATGAAATAAGCAGCTCCTGAATAGTACTCCCACATGTCCCTTGTCTCCTTTATATCCTAACCTTTTGTACTCTTTTTTTCACGGGATCCATGAGTTGTTTGCAACATCATTGGAACGTTAAGAAAGGATTCCACGATAAGATCGGATGTTAGGAAGGGGACCAAGCCGCAAGTCATGCAGGCCGCTCTAAGAAATGCGGGATGATGGCAAAGTGATACTCCCTGCAACTAGAGTGACCCTCCCGCTTCTATATGGCGCCGACAGGCCCACCTCGATGGCTAACCTACGCAGCCTTGCTTAGCCGTTCACAGAGAGCGTTTGAAGAGGCCAGCCAAGATGAGAGAAGTATCAATTCTGGCAATAACACGGGCTGAGAGAGTCCCCATTTCCTTCTCTGTGATTTCATGCTTTTTTTGTTTACTTTACCTGCGACTATTGACCTCTCCCTTGTTGCTGCATAGGCTCCTTCCATCGCAAAATTCCGCACTTTAGCAAAAGAAGTGCCAACCAAGATCCCAAATCGCGCTCCAATTAAAACTAGACTGGATTTATATGAAAACGAGACAATAATTTGATGAAAAGTGCTGATTTTGTTCAGAACATTCAGCTTCGTATTCGCGACAATGCTTCCTAACCGGCATTCAACTAGCTCACTCTTGCTAGTACAAACGATTGTGCCAAAACGCTGACTAGAAGGTGTTGGGATTCGATGACGTCATCGTCACGGGTGGGCCAGACTTCTCAGCGCGCTGGGACGGTGTGGTTGGGACCGCCTCTTAGCGCCCATCCACCAATAACGTCTAACGACGTCATCAAAGCAGCAAGGCCCTTCAGGCCATCCAACCACTGCCTTTGTTTCACCTACAAGTTCATTTCTTAAAGGCGCAATCAGCAGGGAAGTCGTGGTGAATGATCTCCTTGATATATAGATAAACCCTATGAAACAATCATCAGTTGTGCGCACTCCCGGCACGGAAACACCTGAATAGCAGCGGGCCCTGCAAAGTGAGCTGCCAGCAGCTGCAAAGTTCGCCGCTGCAGCGGATATTTGTCACTGGAATCAGCCTTTAACCTAAGCGTTTTCGACGAAGTGATTCCTTTCCTTGCCCTTTCTTCGCACCCATTTTTGCACCAATCACATTTGGGGTATTCCGAGCTACAGAGGCACACAATTTGCTACTGCGACAATGCGCTCAACTCATTCCTAAACTTTGTTTATTTAGTAAATTTATTGGGTCATCACAACAGCTTTTCTTCGTTTTAGCATGGTTCGCGTTCCAAATCAAACCACACTGGCTGATCCCAATTGGAAAAGAGACATGGATGGGAATAAAGGTGAGTTATACAGACTTTCTTAGGGTTATGGTTACGATATGTTGGTATTTCGAGCTGAATAATTATTATTGCAGGTAATCATCGATCAAGGTAATCGAAGAGACAATTGCGGAGCCGAGGCGGCGAGCGAAGTAGAATTAGCGCTGGTTCTGTTAGGTAGATGTCGTCACGGTCGCCATGATGTACTGTCGTGCCAATGTGATTCTTGTTTGTACATAGTACCTGTTCGATACTATGAAATCTCTGGTTACATAAAACACACGCTTTATAAAAAGTTATACATTTCCGCATAATATTTCACACAGATAACTATATGATATGCAATAGTTATTGCGGTCGTTGCTGTCACTCGATAGACTACCACTGGACTAAACTGGCGACGCATACGCGACGCGTGTTCGATGACGTCACAACGACCGCGACGACAGCCAATGCGTTCCAGTCTCCAGTGGCTGGCCCTCCACCTGTTACAGAGAGTAGTACCTACAGAAATAATGGAAAATTTAATTCTGGCACCAACGCGAACTAAATCAGAAGAGTCTTTGGATGAAAACCTAATACTGACACTGAACATTGCCAACCCTTCCTTGTCTCGGAGTTACCGTAAGGTCATCCAGCGAGCCGCCGCACCACCAGTGGGCTTCTTTCTCATAGCTGAAAACGACTCCAATTATAGACATGCAGCTAGTGCATGACTTGCCGTCAACTTGTACCAATTTCGCCGGTGATGCGTGCGGACGCGCGACGGTTTTCGGGCCACTTGCAGCCGCTGCATCTCTTACAAAAAGAATTTCGAGTCACATAAAACTGAAAAATAGAATTACCATGCTGTGGCTGAGAATTGTCAACGAGTGAAGTTTGAGAATACTGTAATTCTGTAATTCTGAGGGTTACAAAATTGAGTCGAGCTTACAGATTTCCTGCTCTAATGTGCATTGGAGGGACTGTCTGTTGTAATAGTGTTAGACAGGCAGTCTTCTAGTAAACACTAGGTAAGTTCTGCCGAGCATTGGGGGCCTGCCATGGTATAGGTAAAGGCAAAGGCTGGACTCCACCTCACTAAGAAGGTCCCTCCCATGAGGAGGCAGGTCCTCAGCCGTAGAAGTTGCTTCAACTTAGCACCCTAAAACGCCTCACCAACGCGCTAGGCGCCTTACGATTCAGAACCGCTGACGCCCGGCCAATCGCTATCCTCCGCTTGAAATTTCTCCGTGCCGCATTGTTGAACAGCTATGCTCTGACTACTATTTCTTAACTTTCTCCGCGGCTCACATCGTCTCTTAACTATTAATTGCTTTGAGGTTTAAAC